CAGTCCTTAATACAGGTTTAGCTGATTTCAGTTTCTGCCTGTAGGTCGGTATAAGATGAACCAAACAGTGATCAGAGAGCCCCAAAGCTGCTCGTGGAACAGAGTGATATGCATCCTTTATTGTGGTGTAACAGTGATCCAGTATATTACTCTCTGGTGGGACATGCTCTCTGTATTTTGGCAGTTCACGGGAGAGATTTGCTTTATTAAAGTCCCTGAGAATGATTAAAACAGAGTCCGGGTGTTGTTGCTCTGTCACGATCCGCTCTGAACAGCTGGAAGCCCGGCAGATGTAGCGCATTGTCCGGTATGGCTTCATTCAGTCAGGTTTCATATAATTATATAATAATATATAATTGTAATATTTTATTTAGATTTTCTTTTTGCACAAAAGTGGGTTTAAATATTCTCATCAAAATAATGTTGCAAAAAAATAATACAATTTTCTTTAAGTAAAATGTGTGTCTTTTGGTTTTGGGGTAAATATGAGCTGGTTTATGTGTCGGTTATGGATATTAACGGATCATTACTCGTCTGGTGTTTGTTTGCGCTGCTGTATGGCGGGTTTAGAGGGAGTTTGTGCTGTCAAGAGTGAGAAGTAAATGTGAGTACAACAGTGCGTTTAATCACACAGAAATTAAGCATAATTACAGAGAATAGAGGCTAATTATGAAGCATGTAATTACTGTGATTGTTCCAGACGTCAGGCTGTGACTCTCTCTCTCTGCAGATGGAGGATACCATCGCTCGCATGCAGGACGAGAAGAGCGGGATTCCCATCCGCACCGTCAAGAGCTTCCTCTCCAAGATCCCCAGTGTGTTCTCAGGTGACCTGTGCATTTATGTTTTTTTTCAGACTACTTATTTATTTATTTATTAATTATAATATGCTCCAGACATAAAAAAAATGTTTCCAGACATTTTATGTTTATATATATATTTAATTTTTGGAAGAAATATGACATTTTATCACACACACACACTTATTTAATATGACCCAGACATTTGCGTTTTGTTTTTATTATTTATTTATTTATTATGATATGCTCCGGACATTTATATTTTTTTCAGACAGTATGTATATATATATATATATATATATATATATATATATATATATTAGGGCTCTCAGTCGATTACAATTTTTAATCGAATTAATTACATGATGTTTTGGTTAATTAATCTAATTAATCGCAAAATAAATTTGACTGAAAATACCCAAAAAAGATTATTTAAAGATATGTTTGTGTTAAATGAGAAAGTATCAAGTAGACATTACAAATTGTAGCTTTAGAAATATTTTATTTGATTCAACAAAAAAATGTATTACACATAAACATTTAGGCTACAACGGCCTAACAAACTATGGAACATAAAAGAAGATAATTTGAGAAACATCACAGTATTTTTTGTTCATACAATGAAAGTCATTGGTAACCAAAACAGCTTTATTACCAACAGTCTTCAAAATACCAAAGTCCCTGTAGTCTTTGAAAATACCTTCTTTTATGTTCCACAAAAGAAAGGTTTGAAACGACATGAGGGACGTGAGATTAAATGATGACAGAATAAAAAATTTTGGGGGGGTGAAGTTGGTGAACTATCCCTTTAATGTTTTTATTATTATTATTAATTAAATGATACTCTAAATAAGAAACTAAATCTGCTAGCAGGTGGCGGTGAATGTAATTCATTCGATTCGTTCAAATGGCTGATTCATTCAGGAATTAAGTAAATGGCTCTCTTTATGAATGGGACTTTGAATCATTGATTCACATGATTCATTCAAAATGCGGATTCATTCAGAAACTAAACACCGCTTGGAGACCCGCAACAGTTCTGCTGTGGCTTTAACACATGCAGGGGCATTTTATATATATATATATATATATATATATATTATTTTGGGAATATTACACACACGCACACACACACACACACTCTTTTATTTATATATACTGTATTTGTTTGCTTATTATTTGTTTGTTATAATACGACCTGGACTTATTTATTTATTTATAATATGACCTGGGCATTTACTCTTTTTTTACATTTTTATTAATTAATATTTTATTGTATATTTTTGTGCTCGGTGTGATCCACTTTTAGTCTCTAGATTATTGGGGTTGGCAGTTATATTATGTAAATGAATAAATATTGATTTCTTAATATAAATATGTGTGTATGTGTATATGTAAATATAATTCAGCGAATACTTTACAAACTAAAATTTTATTTTTTATTTTTATTTGTTTGGTTTGTTGGACACAAACTCCCCTAACAGTCAAAGTAATATTATAAGGCGTATGTATTCTGAAGTGTTTCTGTGATATGAAGCTGCTCGAGCTGCGGCTCATGAGAAACTCGTCAGGTTGAATCTTTGATGCTTCGTGAATAAATGAGGCTCTCGGAGGCTTTCTGACAGTGACACAAACCTTTTTATAGTCCTTAAGACACCGGTAGCAGAGGCGTGCTGAGAGACTCACATGCTAGCGCTAATGAGGAAACCATCAGCCAGTCAAACATCCCAGAATATCCCGAGGACAAACAGAGCAGAGCCTTCAAACAGCGGCGGTGCGGCTTTGAAGAGAGGTCAGCGCTGGACATTGTTAGCATGAGCACAGAGAGATCTCCAAACATCTGCTGCCATTTACATTCAGCCTTCAGAGAGCAGAGAGTCCTCTAAAAATATTGCACTGAATAGATGAAAAATCACGCTCTTCAAACCGTCATCTGGATCTTTATTGTAATGGTTTCAGATGAATTAGTCAAAACACTCTGATAGGAGCATCTTCTCCGGCTTTCAAAAACTGATCTGTTTATCTGTTTTAATTATAACTAGGCTGTATATAATCATAACCCAGCTGTTTTGGGTTACTGCTAGGATGTTGCTAGGGTGCTCTGGGTGGTTGCTAGGATGTTGCTAGGCAGTTCTGGGTGGTTGCTGCTAGGGTGTTCTGGGTGGTTGTTAGAATATTGCTCTGGTTGTGAGGACATTATTAGGGTGTTCTGGTTGCTAGGCTGTTCTGGGTGGTTGCTAGGATGTTGCAAGGGTGTTCTGGTTGTTAGGACATTACTAGGAGGTTCTGGTGGCTAGTATATTGCTAGGGTGTTCTGGGTTATTGCTAGGATGTTGCTAGGCAGTTCTGGGTGGTTGCTAGGGTGTTCTGGATGGTAGCTAGGATGTTGCTAGGGTGTTCTGGTTGTTAAGACATTACTAGGGTGTTCTGGTTGCTAGGATGTTTCTAGGCAGTTCTGGGTGGTTGCTAGGGTGTTGCTAGGGTGTTCTGGGTGGTTGTTAGAATGTTGCTCTGGTTGTTAGGACATTATTAGGGTGTTCTGGTAGCTAGGATGTTGCTAGGCTGTTTTGGGTGGTTGCTAGGGTGTTCTGGTTTTTAGGACATTAGTAGGGTGTTCTGGTTGCTAGAATGTTGCTAGGGTGTTCTGGGTTATTGACAGGATGTTGCTGGGCAGCTCTAGGTGGTTGCTAGGATGTTTCTAGGCAGTTCTGGGTGGTTGCTAGGGTGTTCTGGGTGGTTGTTAGAATGTTGCTCTGGTTGTTAGGACATTATTAGGGTGTTCTGGTAGCTAGGATGTTGCTAGGCTGTTTTGGGTGGTTGCTAGGGTGTTCTGGTTTTTAGGACATTAATAGGGTGTTCTGGTTGCTAGAATGTTGCTAGGGTGTTCTGGGTTATTGACAGGATGTTGCTGGGCAGCTCTAGGTGGTTGCTAGGATGTTGCTAGGGTGTTCTGGTTATTAGGACATTACTAGGGTGTTCTGGTTGCTGGGATGTTGCCAGGCAGTTCTGGGGGGTTGCTAGGGTGTCATGGGGGTTGCTAAGATGTTGCTAGGGTGTTCTGGTTGTTAGGACATTACTAGGGTGTTCTGGTTGCTAGGGTGTTCCTAGGCTCTTCTGGGTGGTCACTAGGGTGTTGTTAGGCTGTTCTGGGTTGTTGCTAGGGCGTTGTGGGTGGTTGCTAGGATGTTGCTAGGCTGTTGTGGGTGGTTGCTAGGATGTTGCTAGGCTGTTGCTGGAGAAACACTGTTTTAAATTAGCTTTTTCTGACTCCATCGGCTGATATTTGTTCTTGTTTTAATCATAAGCTCACTTCATTTTGATCAGTTTCTGTTTTGCGCTGATCCCATAGTGTCGTTGCGAACCGCAGCAAACACTGACTGACTGAAGTCTCAGTCGCTCACAGGCTGTTATTTCATTAATGTATTAATTAGAGCCCACAGATCTGATGCATCATGGGAGAACAGCGCTACGGTTATGATGATGATGATGATGGGAATGCAAACCCCCCTGTTCTGGGTTGTTGCTAGGGCGTTGGGGGGGGTTGCTAGGATGTTGCTAGGCTGTTGTGGGTGGTTGCTAGGATGTTGCTAGGCTGTTGCTGGAGAAACACTGTTTTAAATTAGCTTTTTCTGACTCCATCGGCAGATATTTGTTCTTGTTTTAATCATAAGCTCACTTCATTTTGATCAGTTTCTGTTTTGCGCTGATCCCATAGTGTCGTTGCGAACCGCAGCAAACACTGACTGACTGAAGTCTCAGTCGCTCACAGGCTGTTATTTCATTAATGTATTAATTAGAGCCCACAGATCTGATGCATCATGGGAGAACAGCGCTACGGTTATGATGATGATGATGATGGGAATGCAAACCCCCAGAAAGTGGAGTCTGAGAGATAAGAAAGAGTTCAGATCCTCCTCTGCCTGTTACGCAATCAAGAGTCTTACATAAACATCTTCAGTTAACGACATCTGAAACACAGAAACACAGAAACCTCAGACGCTACACTTTAAACGCACACAAACTCTCTCTCTTGGTAGTCCATCGTATCCGATCATGACCTTCCTCCTCATTTGCGGTGTATCCTTTGATGACTATAGAGCCCTATCCTTGATCCGCAAATTTGATTACAAGATGGGCAAATAAAGTCAGAATTTGTAGGGACATGGCTGTGTGTCTCCTTAGTCTTTTTTGTTGTTTCCTTTTATTTCTCTCTGATTCCAGCTGCACTATTCCTGCTTGACAGAGCTGCTTCCAGGTGGTGCGATTTGCTGCTAATTCTTCCAGGCATGAGGGATTCATTTGGCACTTTCTTAACGATGTTTTAAGTTGGTCTTTATATCACTTTTTTGGACCCCCTGAGGAACGGTGACCCTGATGGACTTTACTAGGGTGTTCTGGTTGCTAGTATGTTACTAGGTTGTTCTGGTTTGCTAGGATGTTGCTAGGCCATTCTGGGTGGTTGCTAGGATGTTGCTAGGCAGTTCTGTGTGGTTGCTAGGCTGTTCTGGATGGTTGCTAGGATGTTGCTAGGCTGTTCTGGATGGTTGCTAGGATGTTGCTAGACTGTTGTGGGTGGTTGCTAGGATGTTGCTAGACTGTTGTGGGTGGTTGCTAGGGTGTTGCTAGGCTGTTCTGGGTGGTCACTAGTGGTGCTCAGTGATTGTGGCTCCCATACCTTTACAGTTTGTTGTGGCAAGCACTTCAAAATGGGGTACACGGTCATAGCATGTAATCCCCAAAATTCGCTGCAAACACCCTATATGGAAATGCTCCAGCAACCTTAGGTGGCGGCTATATATAACCCAGGCTTCACAACTGTAAAGAAGAGTGGTGATGCAAACAGCTTTATAGATGGTAACTTTAGTAAGCAATTGAAGGTGCTTATTTGAAAGACCTTACGTCGAAATCTGCAAAAGTCTACAGAGGCTTGCTTTATCCTATTTTCAATTTCGTCATCGAGATTGCAGTCCTCTGATACAATGCTGCCCAGATACCTAAAGGATGACACTATTGTAAGTGGTTGTTTTTCTATGGTAATATGGTTGCAGAAAACCATATTTTCCTGCAATATGGAAAATATATATTGCAAATATCCAGCCACGCAGTGACTGGCCCTAACAGCTTCTTTATGCTGTACAAACTGTATTATCTATCACCCTACACCTAACCCTACCCCTTACAGAAAACTACTGGCAATTTTTTAATTTCATAAAACACCATTTTGTATATTTTTTTTAAGCATTTTGTTTTACGGGAACACAGGAAGTGTCCTCATAAACCATGTTTACGTTGTAGTACCCATGTCATTATACACATTTGTGTCCTCATAAACCATATATACCAGCACACACACACACACACACACACGGCCGCAGGAGCAGCGTTATGTTTTGCTGTCAACGCAGGAATCAATCAGATCTCATCTCAATGTGACATCGCCCTGAACGATGGTGAAATGGGTGATGCTTTGTGTCCAAACACACACAGCTGGCGTCTGATCTCACTCAATCCTCTGAAAATCCACAAAAGAACAACAAAGACACAGGATAATTAGCAGAAATGAGAAACGAGGGAGTGTGAGAGAATGAGGGAGAGATGAGCGTGGGGAGAGATGGGTAGAGAAGTAGGGCGAGTGTTTGAGCGAGCGAGATCCATATGGACCCGCGGCACTCAGACAGACAAAGTGATAATTAAAAGAGTATAAATTTAGCTGCTGGTAACAGCTGGTGTGTGTGTGTGTTTGTGTGAGTGTGTGTGTGTGTTTGTGTGAGTGTGTGTGTGTGTGTGTGTGTGTGTGTGTGTGTGTGTGTGTGAGAGTGTGTGTGTGTGTGTGTGTGAGAGAGAGAGAGAGAAACACAAACACACTGCAGGTTTAAAGGCCAGAAACAAACACAACTACACAATTATAAAACGTTTGGTCGTTCTGTATGTACTCAACATGTGTGACCTTCAGACGTCTGTGACTATAAACCAAAAGAGCAAGATAACTTTTGTTTTTATTCATAAAAAGTTTTATTCATAAAAAGGTGCTCTTATTTTCTGCATTTCTCTTCTGCTCTAGTGTGTACTATTCTAGTTTATGCTTCAATTTTGTTATTTTAATATCATTACTGATTACTGATACTGTTTTTGTTAATATTTTAAATTAGATTTTATTTTTGCATTCTCTGCTATTTTATTTTAGTTAGTTATTTTATTTTCATCTATGAATTTGTCATTCCCTGGTAATCAAACCCATGACCTTGGTATTTCATCTAATGTTTATTTTTTATTTTATTTTATTCAAACAACTGTTCCTTAATTCCAAGATGGTTTGGTGAGAAGTGTGTTTTTATTATGACAGGTGGTTATTTATATGCTATTATATTTATGAATATTTTAAATTTGCTTTTATGTTGTATATTTTCATTTCTGAATTTCAGTTTTAGTTTATATGATTTTGGTACTTCCACTTAAACTTATTTTATTTTAGTTATTTTATTTACATTTATGAATTTGGCATTCCCTGGGAATCGAACCCATGACCTTGGTATTTCATCTAATGTTTATTTTATTTGATTATTTATATAATTTTGGACTGTTTGGACTGGAATCGTGTCTGGGTTCAGATCTCGTTCTACTTTGGCGTGATCTGTTCTTCTAGAGCGTGTCCTTCACGGAGGACGGTCACGTGAGCGCTATGAGGACATCCTCTCTGTCTGGAGTCACTGTTTCAATTAAAAACAGGATGCCGTTATTTCTGCTTTGTCCCTAAAGATGCTCTTTCAGACGCAGATGTCTCTCGCAGCCTCTGGGGTTTTCTACAAGCCTCTACAAGACACAAAACCTCACAGAAGTTCCTCTCATTTAACAAGCCCTCGCACCGGCTGCCCCCAAAACCTACTTTTCAGAAACACTGAGTGCTGCTTCTGGAGGTAATGAGGCATCGTTACCTGAATGATTTGTGTCCTGAAACGAACATGAAGGGGAGTTTGTGTGCACAAGGTCAGAGCTTCATCACGTGCTGCTTTACTCCAGAGAATCTGCTGCTGCTATTCAGACCTCAAGTGTGAAACAGTGTGGTTTTATACTGTTATAGTATTTATGAATAATCTGAATTTGCTTTTGTTTTGTATTTTCATGTATTTTTATTTTAGTCTTTTCAGATTAGTTGATTTTAGTATTTCATTTATGCATTTGGCATTCTTAGGGTATCAAACCCATGACCTTGGGTCCAATTGACCCCAGTATTTCTTCCAATATTTTTATTTTATTTTATTTTATATTTTATTTTATTTTACATTCCCTGGGAATCAAACCCACGACCTTGGGTTTGACTAACCCCAATATTTCATCCAATATGTTTTATTTTATTTGAAATAAAACATTACCCATGACCTTGAGTTTGATTGACCAAGTTTAAATATTTCATCCAATTAAAAAAAAATAAAATCTGACTGTCTCTCGTCAACTTCCAGATATTATGTGTGTAAAAATTGCAAATAGTGCAAATCTCAACATTCATCTTCAGATTTTTCAAGTTTCAATGATTCAAAATCCGTCCCTCAGATTCAGATCTACTCACTCTTGAGTTCTGCAACAGTAACACCAGGACGATGAGTTCAGTTTCCAGGGAATATAACCTGAATTTAACCAGTCAGTGAGTGCCTTCTTCTGTTTTTCAGGGTCTGATATTGTCCAGTGGATGCAGAAAAACCTGAACATTGAAGACCAAGGTACAGTAACATTTGAGATCATATTATCTAGTGTCTATCCTGAAATCACACTCGCAAACTCACGAGAGCCTACAGACAGAGAAGAGAGCCGCGTATCTCTCCTGTCGAATCAGCTGGTGTTGCCGCAAACCCGTTTACCGCGGTAAACTCGTTAGGTAGCTGGCAAATCGTTCAGACCATTTGTCGTTATTCAATTATTCGGCGGTAAATAAACGGCTTGAGGAGGAAATCAAATGCTGGCATTTACATGCACTGAGCTTCATTGATTTCAGCTTGATTTGTTTTGAGCCCAGCGTGACCTTTTACTTTCAAACAGACGCGTTCTAACGGGACGTTCTCAGAACGTTGTGCCAAGGTTTTCTCAAATGTCCATCCAGTAACATTAATAGAACATTTGTTCAGTGTTATCTAGGACACATTATCAAGATGTTATGTGATTTGTGTTATTTGAGACAATGCTTGTTATGTAATTTTATTGTGATATTGTGAAGCACTTTGGGCAACCTGGTGTTGCATTAAATTGTGCTAAACAAACAAAACAAAGATGTTAGCACAAAAATGTTATTAATACATTGTTCATGGAACGATTGACATTCAGCTTTTTTTTTTACATTAATGCTAGTTTTGGAATGTTCAAAGAAAAGTAACATTCTGAAAATCTGATTTGTCAAAAGTAACAAAGCAAAAGTAGTTTGCAAAATGATCAAATGGAACATTCCTGTGATGTTTTCTCTAACATTCAAATAGCCAAAAAAATGTTTTGAACATTCAGAAATAACGTTTTCATAACTTAATACATTTACAAAACTTTCTAAGTAAGGTTATAGTTCACTGAAATGAAAACTAAAGTTACAAAACAATTTTTGTTGCTTGAAATAAAATAAACTTTAACTGAAATAAAATAAATAAATAATAAAATATAAGTAAATAAAATTTAAAAACTTAAACTTGAATTATTTAAACTAGTTGCCAAGGTAACATTTGGCATTTTCACTAATGAACTAATGAAAGTATACAGACATTAATAAAGCAAAAACTAATAAAAATGACAAAACAAACAACAAAATTACTGAAACTTTAATACATACACACACATATATATATATATATATATATATATTAGTGCTGTCAAACAATTAATCACGATTAATCGCATCCAAAATAAGTTTTTGTTTACATAATATATGTGTGTGTACTGTGTATATTTATTATGTATATATAAATACAAACACATGCATGTATATATTTATGAAAAATATGTTATGTTTATATATTAAATATATTTATATATAATATAATAATATACATGTATATACATGTAAATATTTTCAAAATATAAACTGTATGTGTGTATGTTTATATACACGTAATAAATATACACAGCACACACACATATATTATGTAAACAAACTTTTATTTTGAATGCGATTAATCGTTTGACAGCAGTAATATATATATATATAACTAATTCAAAATATTAATAATAAATTGTATCTCAGTGATACTAAAATAACCCTGGTTCTTAGAACATATTTGTATTATCTGTGTGAGCAGTGATGAGTGTGAATGACCAGTACAGTCAACCGAGGAAACATGACGCATATAAATCTCAGCGTTTGTTTTCAGAGCGTTTAGTCCAGCTGTATGTCAGTCAGATTCAGATCCGGCTCCGTTTGCGCTTCATTTGCAGTGCATTATGGGAGCAGTGTGTGTTGGTCTGGCAGCAGGTGTTTCTGTGTCTGTCTCTCTCGAGACCCGAGGACATATTTTGTCTTTCTGTCTCTCCGTGACCTTGTGGAAAATAGATTCGGTGGAACGGCTCAACTGCGCCTCCTAAAGGGTCCGTCACATCTTTAAGAAAGCGTTGAATTACTCTGAACTTTCAGAAGAGACTCCAGTAGAAAATAACATACAAGAAACTGGATCAGTGCTTCTCAACCACCCAGAGGCTTTAAATGATTTCAAATGAGACCAAATAAGCATTCAAATAAGCTAAAACAACTAAAATATTTATTATAAATATACTTTTTATTCATTATATGTAATAATTATTAAATAAAAATATATAAAAAAACTATGTTTCTTTTAAAGGACCAGGATTCTTCTCACAGTCTTGGAAAACTGGGATATATTAGAAAGCCTCGTTTTAAAAGGGATTCCTAGACCTGGAAAAGTCACGGAAGTGAATCAAATCATAAAACGCCATTGACATTTTTATAATGAATATGCATTTTTCTAGTTATGCCAAGCTTTCATCAGGTAGAAATTGTGAGTAAAAATATTTTTCAAATCCTTTTCCAACTGGAAATGTAAATGCATTAGTTAAAAATAACAGAATCCAGCTCTTAAAACTTTTGAAATACAGAAATACCCTTTTAAATAATAAAAATATTTTTAAAGCAACATCAGAGCTTTCAGGCATTGAATAATGTCAAAAATGGGCTTGGAGTCAAAAAGGTTGAGAAGCGCTGATCTAGAGTCTGATGGAAAGGGAATGTGTTCATATGTTAAGGAATTATTCATCTAAACATTTTAATTTTGTCATCGTTCACACAGCCTGTGATTTCAAACCCTTCTGACGTTGTTCTGTGGACGACGAGGAGATGCTGAGCATCTTTGTGAAGTCGTATGTAATGATGTAAACAATGCGTGAACTGTCCGTTTAGTTTCATTGCATTATTTAGCTGAGCTGCATTATTTACTCAGAGTTCATTTATGGCTCTGAAATATGAAACGACTCCAGACGGAGACGAGATGAGAGTATTGCAACTTCTGCAATCAAAGGACAACAAGCATCTCATCTGAAACATCTCAAGAGCTCCAGTTATATGTGAGTGTGTGTGTGTGTGTGTGTGTGTGTGTGTGTGTG